CTCCTCGTGCTCTTGCTCCTCCTCCTCCTTCCCTTTTTTCGTGCTCCTGCTCTTCCATCTCCTCTGTTCTCTCCCTTCTCCTCTTTTTCGTCCTCCTCCTTCTCCTCCTCCTCCTCGTGCTCTTGCTCCTGCTCCTCCATCTCCTTCTCTGTTCATATTCCTCTTCCTCCTCCTGCTCCACCCTTTCTCTCTCTTCTCTCCCTGTTTGTCTCCCTCTCCCTCTCTTCTCTCTCTTCTCTTCTCTCCTCTTCTCTCGCTCTCGCTCTTCTTCTTTCTCCCCCCCTCCCCGCCCCGCCCTCTTTCTCTCGCTCTCCTCTCACTTTTCGTAGGCACTGGCACCAACCTGTGCTTCAAGCAATCTGTCGCCAAGGTGTCACACTTTGACCTTTCCCAGCTTGTCTTGACCACCCCAGGCTTCGAAGCTTTACGAGGCCCCTGCCTTCAGCTCCAGTCCATCTGTCGTCACCTGGTTCTCAGCTCCCTATGCTGGTAACACCCCTTCCTCCCTTTTTTGCCATCCTGTCGCGCCTCCGCTTCCTACTCCTCCTCAGCTTCCTCTTCCTCTTCCTCTTCCTCTTCCTCCCCCGCCTCTTCCTCTTCCTCCCCCGCTTGCTCCCTCTGCTCCTGCTCCTGCTCCTGCTTCCTGCTGTTTGGCTCACGTACACCACAGGAAAGCACGAGGAGCATATCATCAACACAGAGTGGGGAGGTTTCGATTCCACCATGAAGGTGCTTCCTCTCCTGGCCTATGACGTCATGCTCGACTCCAAGGTATCAAGAGTGTGTTGTTCTTTGTTGTGTTCTTTTTTTCTTCTTTTTATCAAATTCCTGATGCGTTTCCCCTTCTTTTTCAGAGTGTGAATCCGGGGGAGCATCTGTACGAGAAGATGATCTCAGGGATGTTCCTGGTGAGTTGAGAGGACAAACTCTTGACAACTTGGATGGTGATGGTGATGGTGATGATGGAGATGCCGATTATGAAGACTAAGATGATGATGATGATGATGATGATGGTGGTGGTGGTGGTGGTGGTGATTCTTTTCAATGTTTTTGCTGATTCTTATTGGCAGGGTGAAGTCGTTCGTCTTGTGGCTTCAGAGCTCATCGCCAAGGTAGGTGGAGGAGGGCACGAGCAGAAACGGGGGCAAGTAGGGAGGGCGAGGACGAGGACGAGGACGAGGACGAGGACGAGGACGAGGACGAGGAAGGGGAGGACGAGGACGAGGGACGAGGGACGAGGGACGAGGGACGAGGGACGAGGGACGAGGAGGAGAATGAGGACGAGGACGAGGAGGAGAAGCATGATCGTACGATGGCAGGAGCTTCTCTTTGGAGGAGAAGTTTACGACTCCTTCATCAAGGCAGGAAG